CACACACACACACACACACACACACACACACACACACACACACACACACGCACACACACGCACACACACACACGGGATGAGGCTGAATGCAGCAGCCATGCTAATGAGGGCTTGGGGAAGTATTCAGACGGCTGAGAGCAGGGCACTGTGAAAGCATCACTTGTGCTCGTACTCAGCTCAGCTGCTGGCTTCGCTCAGCACTCAGGAAACTCTGCAAGGCTGCTGTGAGTGCGACACGTGAATACAGAAGTTATACAGAGAAGAGACTAGGACACCTCGGATTGGGTTTTTGTCGGGTTCGTGCAAATAGCAGTGCCGCGTGTGATTAACTCGCTCGTCGTTACAGGAGCTCGAGCGCCTCAGACCAGATGAATCGGTCGCTAACTCACATTTCCACAGACACCTTTAACACTCAACGGTATGTGGTGTAGATGTGTCGGTTAGTGTATCTGCAGGTTGTGCAAACACCATAACCAAGCACTCGGGTTGAAAATCACATCTGGCCTCACTATTTAAACAATTCATTTCCATTTCACAAAACAAAACATTTGCTCTGGTGTGAAAAAGAAAAAGGATCGTCGCTAGCGTACAGTTTACACTAAGCTCTAGCAGATTTGTTTTAATCCATAAAAATACAATATTTTATTTGCTTATCATACGAGTTGTGTGTTTTTATGAAGCAAAACCCACTATAGATAACTGTAACTAGAAGTAAAAGTATAATATTTAGAATTATTGATTTCAGAGCGGTGACTTCAGAGCAGTTGAAATGATTTTTTTTGGACGGTGGCCTTGTAGACCAGCTGCTTTAATCAAACAACAATATCATCAATGATCGGCAATTAGTATCAGCGGCAAAATCTCTTCAAGGCACACTAATAGAAAAGGTGAGTCACCATCTTTCAAAAAGGAGCCAGCAGCAAAGGTAGAAATGGCTTTAAGTGCCTTCTCAGGAAAATAAAGGTGACGCATCAAAAGTGGGTCACAAGGGGAGCAGATCATTACTTTCATTTTCTAATTGTACCTCCTAAGTTCCATATTCATGTGCGTAGGTAGCTCTTACATGCCTTAGCATTTAAGCTGCTGCCCTAGAAGGTTCAGACGGCCGAGTAAACCAAAAAACAACAACAACCACAGCCGAGAAAATAAGAAAAAGGAACTGAGGCAATAAGAATGAAAGAGCGGGATGTTGAACAGAAGCATTTCACTGTGCATGATAACGTCCATGATATCAATGATGATGAGGAAGGCCAGATCCCGTCATTGGAAATGCCACGCGGCGCCGCTGAATTCCATCACACAGAGGCAGAGCCCCCCAGTGCTGCAGCTGCCCAGCACTGACCTTTCAGGATGCGCATCACCCACAGGAAATGCCAATCTACAATATTTACTGACAAGGCAGCATTCTAATGCGCCGCGGCCATCAACCTGTTGGGCGACGCCGCGGAGCGGTGAATGTAGAGCTATTTACTGACGGGTTTTTTGTTTTTCAGTCACTTCCTGTCATGAGATGAAAGAGAGAGGGGAGGATACATTTGATATTTCCACTTTCCTCACATCCCAGTGAGGTGGTTTTTGAGAGTTTTTGCTGAGTGTTCTCATCGGAGGGACTTTGCCTGTTGCTTCATCCTCCGGAGTTGGAGAGCTAGAAACAGAACACGTCTTTTATTTCTAAAAGTATACAGATAACTGTACCATGACCCTGTAAATCAGCCCATATATCGGTTCACCGTGTGGCTTTACTGCTCCGACATTAAAAAAAAAAAAAAAAAAAAAAAAACATCTAGCAGGGGGGCGAGAGGGTGAAAAAAGAAAATGTGACAGTTTTGTGCGGTAGAGGGCTGTGGATAATTAACTGTGCCTAAGCTGAGAAAGGACCTTCAGGACAAGAAGCCACGGGGAACTTATCTGCCACTACACTTCAAAACTGCCAACGGGGGCTAGCAGGGTTACAGAGATATACGTTAGTGTTACAGTGTGCTGCCACTGGGGAAAAGAGTGTGACTGAAAACCATGGAAAAGTTGAAGGAGATACAGGCAACAGGAAAGATCACTCTGTTACTTTAGGCGAGTGGAGCAGAAGGCCTCTGATGGAGTTGGGTGTGCAGGTATTCTGTGTGCACAGCCCTGTTAACAGGCTTTACAGTAATGCGCTGTACATTAGATTTAGTCAAGTCTGGTGCCGATTTTGTTACCATTGATGGCTAAATATAAATCTGCCACGGCCGACCGATATCAATCAAGATCCATTATGAACAGATTGATGATCGCCGGATCTCCTCCGCTCGCTGCACCTGCTAAAAAAGATGCTCCGTGTTTGTTGTGGGGGGCAAAATTCAATCACACCGGCACTCGGGAGCGTTAATGTGACAGCGAAGCCCGACAGAGTGCGACAGTGGGGAGGGAAATCAAGCTGGGGGCGAGCCAAAAAGACAGACTTTAGAGGCAACCACAGGGACCAATTAAATGGCTCTCATCCATTTTTAATGTTCACGCTGCACCCGTCAGTCAGCCGCTTCACTGCAGCACTTGTCAGCAAAACTTAGAACTCAACACGTCTGCTACGGAACAGGTAAGAACCGACAGGCATGTTAAAACATTAAGAAATGAGTGTTTGACATTCAGACTGGTATTTGGCCCGACCTTCTGCTGCTTCTGGCTCACTTATAAAACCCGACGGATCAAAAAACAAATTTCAAACGGCAGGTTGAGAGTCAAAGGAAGCGCCGCAACTTTCCATTGAAACCAATTGAACGTTCCCACAGCGCCAACATCTGCAGGCGGCTCTCAATCTTAAGCTTTAGTTCCGTCGTCTATTTTCTCTAAGCAAACATGGCAAGAAACCACACTGACGATCTACTATAAAAACGATACAAATGATGTGTTATATCAGATAGAAATGATATCACTCTGATCAAATGATAAAATATGCACTCCACGCTTTCCTCCGCTCACTCCCTGCTGAGTTTCAATCCCCCCCCGATTCCTCTACCACATGGATTTCAAAATCCATCCGCTATATTTATCAGAAAATTGCACAACAGTTGCCATTGCGTGGTGCTTCACAGTGCTTCTGTGTCCAGTGTGACCCCGGAGTAAGGCCTCAAAGCTTTAAAAAAATAAATGTATTTAACAGCTATGCACTATTTATCATCCCCCAAATCATGGTCATACAACCATCCCTGATGGATGTTTGGCTGTCCTTTCCGTGCTCTTCCCAAAACGATGATCCACCTCTGGGAGCTCTTCGGCTCCCAAACGCGGCTCTGTCGAGGCCAGGCCGCCTTTCACTGGACATAAAGCGTTAGAATATCAAATCATCGCGGGTAAACGGCTTTCAAAACAATCAATTGGGAGTTGATATATTTCCTCAACCGGCAAATAAGGTGGGCTTCACTTGGTTGGGCTGAGGGGGGCTGACCCTTGAACTGCTGAGCTGAGAATTTGTGGGCTCTCCGGGTGATTTATTTGCTTCCCCCGCTGCAGTGGGTAATTTACAACCCCGCCTGCTGTAGAGCGTCTAGGGCAGGAGCCGGGATTAGACTGTGACCAGCACCAGAGCCCACGGATCACCATAAATCTCCGCTGATTGAATGCAAATTGGAAAAGTGCACCATGTATGTCAGTATACATCATGAGAATAAAGCTGGCATAACAAATGCACGCGCACACACACGTCACGCACATGCCTATTCTCTAAATATGTAAGCCTTATTTCATGTGCATGCTTTTTCGTACGTGTACATGCGAGTGTTTATGTGGGGTGCAGGCAGAAATTTATGGGCTACATGGTGGCGAAGACATTTGCATTATAAATCTCAATTACATAGCATTATTTGTTTACCAGCCGGCTCCGATGGAATTCTCATAAGGTGCCCTGCAGAGGAGGCTCATAAATTCTTAATAAACTGCAGTGCAGACCTTTGTACGGCACTGACCTAAATCCTGCAGCTCGTCTCTGCGCCGCACTCCTTTCTTTAAACTGTTAACGAGGCTCCGTTACACATGTCCGACTGCGTTTTCAGATAACTGCCCAAACCAGACCCGCGTCTCGGTTGAAACATGATACGGGCGAGAGAGGGAGGAGAGGGGAAAAAAAAAAAAAAAAAACACGAGATGACACGGTGCCCGCCAAGGAAAAAATCGTGTGGTGAAGATGCTGTGCTATCAGTCTGGGACCATCTGCTGATGTGTTTTATGCAAGGAGTAAACCCTCACAAGGCCCTCACAGGCCAGAGGCACAGAGCACAAGTGATTAATATGCCTCGGCTAATGAGCAGTCCCAGCATTGCTTTGGCTCCTCTGACTCTCCCGGCAGTGTGTGTGTGTGTGTGTGTGTGTGTGTGTGTGTGTGTGTGTGT